CTCTCTTCCCCCCCCCTTCAAAAAGGGTATAGAATTCAGCTTTTAGTGACTTCAGAAATATTCTGAATATTTGAAGTAACAGTAGTTGAAAAATTTAACAAATCTAGACATACATTCTCGATTTAAAACAATGAATAATACATCTGTGAACCAAAAAATGTAAAATTTGTGTGAAAGCAAATTTCCACAGGTTGTTTGTAATGCTGCTGTAGAGTTCTGGAATTCAGTAAATTTTATGGAATATTTATATACCTAACACAGCAAGATTGATAAAAATCACTTAATCCCACTAATCCAGTCGGTTTCTTTGAAGAAAAAGAAGAGGGCAGAATATTTTTTTCTTTCTTTTCAGAGATGCTCACTTTATCCTTCTGATCAAACTCTAAAATACCCGCATCGTTTCTACTTAGAACACAAAAAGTGAATACAGTATATGATTTTTTTTATTGGGGAACAGAAGGTCAGCAGTTCAGTTTTATTTTCAGTATTTTATAGACAGTATAAAGTGAAATCCCTTGAAAAGTGGCTAATAGTGTTCCAAGGGATTAGCAATAAAATGTAGCAGGGTATGTTGGTTCTGAGCTGTGTCCTTTCATGCAAGATCAAGGTTAAATTTATGCATTTGAGAACTGTGTTCTTTGTTTCTAAAATCAGTGAATGTACTAATGCTTCTAATAAAGTTTAATTCAGAGACCAGTGATGTTTGCTATGGCAAAGTGAAACATGAGAAAGATCAAATTAGGACCAGATCATTTTAACTATTTCAAATGTTGAGATTGCTAAAGATTTAGTGAAATCTTAACCAGGCAGGGAAGGGTTCTTTAACATTTCATAAAATTTTCCATATATTGTCTTCAATATTGCCAGCCAAGGCAGTAGTTTCTCATTATTTTACCGTTTTATTTTTTTATTTAAAGATTAACAGAAACATTGCTCTCCATTTGAACTGACAGAATCACTATAGGTGGCATCAGTCTATGATCAGCAATAAGTCTATTGGGATTTATCTTCCACAGAGCATGTCACATCAGTATAACATACAGATAAACACTTCAATTTTTCCTTCTAATTTTTTGTTTCCTTTTGCATGACTTAATGTATATAATTTTTCCTCTATTTTCACATTCCCTTCAAATTTATTCTTTGGCCCTTTTCATTAAGGGGTTATATGAAGGCTGGTAGGTCTAATATTAAATCTTCCAGCTTTGTCTTGTGTAGTGGGCTCTCCCTGCACTCCCCCTTCATTCTGCCTACTTATTTTATTTTTATAAATTTCAATATGCTGCCTGTTCAGAAGAACGAAGTAGACGAGAGGAGTGGAAACTTGGCAGGCAAAAAACAAAGGCTTGTCCTTATTTATAATTAGGGAGAAGCATCTACATAGCGACATAGATTGCTGGCCACTGATTGTTTTACTGGGGCTATTCCCAAGTAGGGACAAGGGCTTGGTCCTCCTGTGGGAGGTTTTCTTCACTGCAACTTAACTCTTTAATTGCCATGTAGTTCCTCTAAATCTTAAAGATGACTTGAAAAGATACTTTTAAAAGTTGTGATTGTGCCCTTTTTTCCTTCTTATTTTATGTACAGAGGCCTGAAAGATGGTAGAATCTTTAATAAAGACATTTTTTTCCTGAAATGTTATCTGACTTAAGTGATTGATTAGGTGTTTATAAAACCATATGACTTTAAAAATTCCTACCTACCTATTGCTCAGTGTTTGTTCTATACTCTTGTGATGTAATTTCAGGAGTTCTCCAGTCTCTATAACGTCATCTTCCCCCTTTTTTAAATCATTCAGGTCATCGTTAGGCATAGGTTTTTACCAATGGCAGTTACCTTGTTACTGTATTGTTGTTGTTCAAGTGATGGTCCCTATGTGTATTTCACACATGGGTACACATGCACGCCATGTGCTGGAGTCTGGAAATTCTTCAAAACAGCGTCTGTTGACCCGCACATGCGTATTAGCTCCCCTGGTGTTCCCGACTGAGGAGGTAGAGGGTAGTTTGGGTCAACACCTCTCCAGTTCTTTCTTACCCCTGCATGTCCTGAATCGGAATCATGTCCTCTGTCACTCGATATTTAAACTGTAATATAAAACACTTTTAAATAGTTTTTCTGTCAGTTACATCTCAGATTTCTTCCCAAGATTGTTTCTGAGTTCCACATCAATCAGACAATATGCTTACCTGTATTTTCCCCAAAACTCCATGCTTCTTCCAAAGACAGGACATTTCACTTTCTCAATGTCAGGCTGGTGTTCTGCTGGCAAAAAATCAACCCCCCTAGAATATTTCTGACACTCTTTATTGCCAGAGCAGAAAGATCATGGGGACAAGCCATATCCTCCCACAGGATTTCTAAGTGGGTTTCAGAATGCATCTTAAAATGCTACAAAATAGCAAAAATTCCCCCTCCTGATGGTGTTACAGCTCAGTGCATGTGAGCACAAGCTGTCTCCATGGCATCCCTATTGGATGTTCCACTGTAAGATGTTTGCAGAGCAGCAACTTGCAAGTGCAGTTGTAGGAAGGGAAGTACTACAAGCATCTCTGCTGCAACCTCCCTCACATCCTCTTCTCATCTGAACATTGCTTGCCAGTCACACACATGTGGAATACATATAGGGACAATCACTTGAAGAAATGGAGGTTACTTATCGTAACTGGAGATTCTTAGAGGTGGATGGTCCCAATCTACATTCCATTACTTGCCCTCCTTCCTCTCTGCTTCGCATCCAGTTGGCTTGCTGTAAGAAAAGGAACTGGAGAGGCTTTGACCCGCACTGCCTTTCGTGCCCACTGCCTTGAAGAATTTTTGGGCTCAGGTGCATGGCGCGCATGTGTACCATGGGTGGAATACAGATAGGGACCACACATCTCGAAGAACCTTCAGTTACAGTAAGTAACCTCCATTCTCAAACTGATCTTAAACTTTTTCTCCTTGATTATACTAGTAACCAAACTATTTCCAAGCTCATTTCAATCTCATAGGCTATTTGGTGTGACTTGTCCATGACAACTTTTCAACTACAAAATATTTTCCTAGCATAAACAGGTCCTAAGAGAGGTTATCTAGTGTCAGTAATACCAAGTTGTTTCTGTAGAATAACAACTATTTGCACTTTGTAATTCAATTTAAATATAAACGCACCCTCAGCAAGTTCACGGATGACACTAAGCTGGGGGGAGAGATAGATACGCTGGAGGGTAGGGATAGGGTCCTGAATGACCTAGACAAATTGGAGGATTGGGCCAAAAGAAATCTGATGAGGTTCAGTAAGGACAAGTACAGAGTCCTGCACTTAGGACGGAAGAATCTCATGCACTTCTACAGGCTGGGGACGACTGGCTTAGCGGCAGTTCTGCAGAAGAGGACCTGGGGATTACAGTGGGTGAGAAGCTGGATATGAGTCAACAGTGTGCCCTTGTTGCCAGGAAGGCTAGCGGCATATTGGGCTACATTAGTAGGAGCATTGCCAGCAGATTGAGGGAAGTGATTATTCCCCTCTGTTCGGCACTGGTAAGGCTACAGCTCCAGTTTTGTGCCCCCCACTACAGAAAGGATGTGGACAAATTGGAGAGAGTCCAGCGGAGGGCAACGAAAATGATTAGGGGGCTGGGGCACATGATTTATGAGGAGAGGCTGAGGAACTGGGCTGATTTAGTCTGCAGAAGAGAAGAGTGAGGGGGGGGGATTTGATAGCAGCCTTCAACTACCTGAAAGGCGGGGGTGGTTTCCAAAGAGGATGGAGCTCCGCTGTTCTCAGTGGTGGCAGATGACAGAACAAGGAGTAATGGTTTCGAGTTGCAGTGAGGGAGATCTAGGTTGGATATTAGCAAAAACTAGTTCACTAGGAGGGTGGTGAAGCACCGAAATGGGTTACCTAGGGAGGTGGTGGAATCTCCATCCTTAGAGATTTTTAAGGCCCGGCTTGACAAAGCCCTGGGTGGGATGATTTAGTTGAGATTGGTCCTGCTTTGAGCAGGGGGTTGGACTAGATGACCTCCTGAGGTCTCTTCCACCCCTAATCTTCTATGATTCTATGTATGAGAATCAGAGAAAGGCTATTTGCAGTTGTGAAAATAGATGTGAAAAATTCTAAATAAGAAATAGGAATATTCTTTTTTTTTTTAATTGAAAGACAGTGTTATTTAAGAAGCTTCATTTTCCAGAATAGCTGAGTGCTTATTGAGTAAATAGGAAAGGCAGATCTTAGTGTTATCTATTTTAAATGGTGTCACATTGATTAAGCATTAGCATCTTGAAATGCCCCCATGCAGGAAATTTTGTGTCATAGCGGTATCACTAATGACATAAAAATTAAATCTGACTCTGGGGAGGTAAGCATATTTGAAGGTCACATCATTTGACACAGATAACTCCACACAGAACAATAGAATACTATTGCATGTGTTTAATGGAAAGTTGTAACTCAATTTTTTTTCCCCTTAGGCTCCTACAGTAAACCACTATCTTGCAAAATCACTTGGGATTTGTCTGACAATTGGTAGGCTCCAGACTGGAGGCTTCTGCAGACATATCCTGGAAAAGGGGTTCTCAGGAGTGAGATTTAATGAAGGGGGCTGAGTAGCTGAGGGAGTCATGACAGCCTTCTCGGTGGCTCTGAAATATTTTAATTTGACTCTAAATTTTGTGACGTTTCATTGTCTCAGTGATTTCCAGATTCAATTTTGAGAGGGTTCTTTTTTCCTATCAGTGTTGTGTAAACTGTGTTCTTTCTGGTTTGTGCTTCATCAACAGCAATTAAGATTTTGTAGTATAAATTTTGTTAAAATCTAGATCAATAGATCTAGAATATTACTATAGTATCTGAGCACTTCCCGAAATGTTTAAAATAAATAAATTAAATACCCCCAAATGGCCCAAGGTCTGCTTTTTTTTCCTATAACCCCAGATAATTGGTCAATTAAAAATATTCTTTAATATATTCTGAAGGTAGTGAGATTAGTGGTTATTCTTATCTCCTCTGATGATAGGTTCCAAAGTCTTGTCCTGCTGTGTCGTCTTCTCTCATCAGCTTCATTCCTGAGGTGGAACACCTTCATAATTCCAGAGGAACGTAGATATCAGGAAATCCTTGTCAGCAGTGAGCGCACTCTGAGATATTGAAGGTCAGTTTCATGGACGGACCTTGAAAGTTAAGCCTGTGACTTTAAACTTGCCCAGTATTAAGTGGAGAGCCAGTGTAGTGAGCGCAGCACTGAGAATATGTGCTTTCAGCAACTGATGCTGAAGAGAAGGCGAGCTATTGTGATCTGGAATAATTGAAGCTCTTCTAATGTTCTCAACTTATTTAGCATTGTGGGCCGCATATGCAGCTCTCCGTGTTATATGGGGTATATACTACCTGTATGGCCCTGAGGATGTCACATGGGCCACAGCTGTGCGCTGATTGGGCCGCAAGTAGGCCGTGAATTGAGAACCACTGATCTACACAGACCCTAAATTTGCCTCTGTCTTGCCTGTGTTCAGTTTCAGCCAGCTGTTTTTCATTCAGGTGCTGATCTCAGCCATACATTAAGATAGACTGAGATAACACATGTAAGTGAAATGTGGAACTGGATTTTGCCTGCATATACTGGCATTTTAGACCATGGCATGGCATGTAACAATTGCACCCCATCCACCCATGCTTCATATAGATGATGATGTCCAAGTTGGAATAGAAGCTATCTTACTCTCCCCTAGCTGGATTAACTCTGTACTATTAGCAGTAGTAATTTTTGTCACTGAAGTCAGCAGATAGATCTGTAAAATACACACACAACCAGATCTGTTGAGTAACGGTGCTATTTTTATATTGTAGGTTTTTCAACTATAATCACATTTGAAGTAAAAACAAACAAAAATCCGGATAAAAAAATAGTTCAGATGTTTCTAAATTCAGATTTTATAAACAGTCCATAAATATAGTAAATAAATGTAGCCCATACATAAGTACTGGAAGCAGCAGTCTGTGCAGGATACTAGTCCTCTCACTGTTCAAACTTTGTGGCATTGTAATGAGAAAACACTTCAAGATATAACCATATAATGGACAAAATGCATGGTTAAGCTGTAGAATGTTCTGGATCTCCTTTAGCAATGCAGTTAACATTCTGCATTTACTGAGCAGTTCACAGAAGTCAGATAATTTTCTGTCAGTTTTCCAGATTATGTTTAATTTTACATAAGTCATCTCTAGGTGGTGAAAAAAAATTGTGTTCTTTTAAAGTAAACTGAATTCTCAAGACTGATTTCAAGTGTAAAAGTATAATTAGGCAGGCCAAAAGAGAATTTGAAGAACAATTAGAAAAAAACCAGAGAAACTAATACCAAAAATTTTTTAAGTACCTCAAATGCAGGAAGCCTGTCAAACAATTAGTGGGGCCACTGGATGATCAAGGTGCTAAAGAAGTTCTCAGGGAAGACAAGACTGTTGTGGAGAGGCTAAATGAATTCTTTGCATTGGTCTTCACTGCATAGGATGTGAGGGATATTCCCACAACCTGAGCCATTCTTTTTGGATAACAGCTGTGAGGAATTGTCCCACATTGAGGTGTCAGTAGAGGAGGTTTTGAAACAAATTGGTAAATTAAACAGTACTAAATCACCAGGACCAGATGGTATTCACCCAAGATTTCAGAAGGAACTCAAATATGAAATTGCAGAACTACTAAGTGTAGTATGTAACCTATCGCTTGAATCAGCCTCTGTACCAGATGACTGGAATATAGCTAATCTGATGCTGTTTTTTTAAAAAAAGGCTCTAGAGGTGATCCTGGCAATTACAGACTGGTAAGCCTAACTTCAGTACCAGGCAAATTGGTTGAAACTATGGCAAAGAACAGAATTATCAGACAAATGAACTCCTCTCCAACATACTGTGTTCATCTATTTTGTAAAGGGAAATCATGCCTCACCAATTTATTAGAATTCTTTGAGAGTGTCAGCAAGTATGTGGATAAGAGTGATCCACTGGATGTAGTGTACATAGATATTCAGAAAGACTTTGACTAGGTCCCTCACCAAAGGCTCTTTAGCAAAGTAAAGATTCATGGGATAAGAGAGATGGTCCTCTCATGAATCATTAACTGGTTAAAAGATAGAAAACAAAGGTTAGATCAGTTTTTACAGTGGAGAGGTAAATAGTGGGGTCTCAGAGGTATCTGTGCTGTTCAACATATTCCTAATTGATCTGGAACAGGGGTCGGCAATCTTTCAGAAGTGGTGTGCCGAGTCTTCATTTATTCACTCTAATTTAAGGTTTCACATGCCAGTAATACATTTTAACATTTTTAGAAGGTCTCTTTTTATAAGTCTATAATATATAACTAAACTATTGTTGTATGTAAAGTAAATAAGGTTTTTAAAATGTTTAAGATGCTTCATTTAAAATTAAATTAAAATGCAGAGCCCCCCGGACCGGTGGCCAGGACCCGGGCAGTGTGAGTGCCACTGAAAATCAGCTTGCGTGCTGCCTTCGGCATGCGTGCCATAGGTTGGCTACCCCTGATCTGGAAGAAGGGGTAAATTTTGAAAACTATACAAAATGTCTCAACATAGTTAAGTCCAAAGGAGACTGTGAAGAGTTACAAAGAGATCTCACAAAACTGGGTGATTTGTTAACAAAATGGCAGATGAAATTCAGTGTTGATAAATACAAAGTAATGCACATTGGAAAACATGCTCCCACCTATACATACAAAATGATGGGGTCTAAATTAGCTGTTACCACTCAAGAAAAAGAACTTGGAGTCATCATGACTAGTTCTCTGAAAACATCTGCTTAATGTGCAATGGCAGTCAAAAAAACTAACACAATGTTAGGACCCATTAGAAGAGGCATAGATAAAAGGACAGAAAATATCATAATGCCACTCTATACACCTCTACCGCGATATAACGTGACCTGATATAACACAAATTCTGATATAATGTGGTAAAGCAGTGCTCGAGGGAGGGGGGGGGGTGCATTGCAGTCCGGCAGATCAAAGCAAGTTCGATATAACCTGGGGGAGGGATAGCTCAGTGGTTTGAGCATTGGCCTGCTAAATCCAAGGTTGTGAGTTCAATCCTTCAGGGGGCCACTTAGGGATCGGGGGCAAAAATCAGTACTTGGTCCAGCTAGTGAAGGCAGGGGGCTGGACTCGATGACCTTTCAAGGTCCCTTCCAGTTCTGTGAGATAGGTATAACGCAGTTTCACCTACAACACGGTAAGGTTTTTTGGCTCCCGAGGACAGCGTTGTATCGGGGTAGAGATGTAAATCCATTTTACACCCCACCTTGAACATTGCATGTAGTTTTTTGTTACCCTATCTCAAAAAAGAAACATAAGAATTGGGAAAAGTACAGAGAAGGTCAACAAATTGATTAAGAGCATGGAACAGCTTACGTATGAAGAGTGAGTAAAAAGACGGACTGTTCAGGTTGGAAAAGAGAAGATGTGGGGGGAGGGGGATGGTAGAGGTCTGTAAAATCATGAATGGTGTGAAGAAAGTGAATAAGGAAGTGTTATCTGCCCGTTCATGTAACACACAAATCAGGGGTCACCGAATGACAGAGGCCAACACGGATGGGACGTGGGATCATGTGTCCCCCCCACCCCCCGATTTCTGCCAGGGTTTACACCAAAACGTCAGAACCATCTAGTGAGGAGTGCGGCACTTATTTCCTTTGCCTTGCCCAGGAGCTGCCTCTAGCCTGTGTCTTTGCAGAGCTCATTCTTCTTTTTCTCCCCCCTTCCCCCACGGCTGGAAGCAGCTCTCCTCCTCACCTGCACAGTGCTGAAAGGCAGCTAATGCCTCCAGGCTGCTGCTGGTCAATAACATAACCCAGCTGCTTCCTGTCTCCTGGCTGCAGAATGGGCTGGATGGGGTTGAGGAGGCATTGTGCACTAGGGCCCTGGGGAACCTGCAGAGTTTGCTGGGATTTGGCAGAGACGAGAAAGGAGGTGGTGATATTGAACCCCAGCCTGGGGAGAGTACGGTGAGGGGTCCAGTGCATCCTGGCTCCTTTCCTTTCCTGGCAGTGGCACTAATGCCATCCTAGGCTGGCAGTGCCACCTGCCTTTCCGCACAGAGAGCAGCAGCCAGGTAGGGCAGCCTCCTGCATGTGCTTCTAGCTGTGGGGGTTGAGGAGCACAGACAGGCACAGGGCTCAGCCCACTCTGGACTAGGGTAACCAGACAGCAAGTGTAAAAAATCGGGACGGGGGTGGGGGGTAATAGGAGCCTATATAAGAAAAAGACCCAAAAATCGGGACTGTCCCTATAAAATCGGGACATCTGGTCACCCTACTTTGGACAGCCCAAGCTATCTGCCGAAGGTGGGGGAGGAGCGAAGGGCATTCAGAGCTACCCCAGGCTGGCAGAAATCAGGGCAGTCTCAGTGCAGCATGGATGGTCTCCAAGGCTGGCTCACAGGGCATGTCTCCTTAGAGCAGCGATTAGCTTGCCCTGCTCATTCAGTGTTTCTCCGAGGGTCTCAAAGCACTTTACAAGCTGCAGTGCACCACTGGGAGTGAGGTGGGGATCCCGCATTATAGAGAGGTGGAGGCCGTGCATTTAACCTCATGCAGCTGTGCAGGCGTGTGTGTGTGTGTGTGCGCGCGCATGGGCTGCACCTGCAGCCCTGAGAACTGGGCCCAGCTGCCTTGTTCAAGCTCAAAGAATCAATCACAGAGTCAGGAATAGAGCCTGGGGGGCCGGTATCCTGCAGCTGAAGGCCAAAGGTGGGGCTAGCCAGGGGGGGCCGGGAGCTGGCTCTGAGCTGGGAGATGCTAGGAAGCTGCTCTGCACTGAAGAAGCGACTGTGAGGCCATGCTGTAGTCCACAAAGCCATATGGCATGCCCCCGACCTCACACACCTAGCCTCTGCTGCCAGAGTTCATAACAGAACCTTTACATTGTGCTCCCCCACCCACCCCCCATCAACAGTTACACATTGCCCCGACCAAGTGAAATTAATAGGTAGCAGGTTTAGGTTTCACACAATGCACAGTTAACCCGTGGAACTTGTTGCCAGGGGATGTTGTGAAGGCCAAAAGTATAACGGGGGTGAAAAAAGAATTAGATAAGTTCATGGAGGATAGGTCCATCAGTGGCTATTACTGGGGACGCAACCCCATGCT